TCTCTCTACAATGAATGTGCACTACCACTCAGTGTTGAAAGGCTCCATCAGCTCAGTGCACCGCCATCATTTAGCCCTGAATCAGTTGTTGTGTCATGTTCCTGCCTGCCTAGGCAGCCACACTGACATGACACAACATTTCGAAGCACTTCGAACCACTGTCATGATGTCACCTTGGACCAGCAGCAGCACTGGCAGGGTTGCACTATCAGCGCACAGTGACCACCAGGACAGGACAGGATCACAACACAGCTTTGCATTTCACCATGTCGTCGTTGTCGTCGGCGGTGGTGTAAATGCCATTGTATTGCACCGCTACCCTTTCTGTCAGCAGTGGTGGTGGTGTTGCCATTACGAGGCCAATTTGGACAACAGCAGCAGCAACAACGGTTCGGTATGCCTGACAGCAGCTCTGCTCTCTCTCTCTCTCTCTCTCTCTCTCTCTCAGCTATCTCAGCTATCGCCGCACAAAAGGTACAGCAGTTTGGTGGTTATGTGCGCTGAGTGCTGAGTGCTGCACCCAGGGCTGATGCCATGTCAGACTGAGAAAGAGACATTCCGAGAAAGTGCCACCACCACCACCACCACCAGCACCACCACCAGCCAACCAACCGACGGCAGTAATTAATTCAATGGCGCGCCTGAGAGAGGCACTGAGAAAGCGAGAGAAAGAGATGTCCACTGGCTGCGGAAATCACGACGATAAATCACCGCCTGGCGCCTGCAATTGGGAACTCTGCGCTTTGCCGTGCTTGCACTGCTGTACAGCACTGAGTTGTCTGTTGTCTGGCAGTTGTCCCACTGAATCGACACTTTGTCAACGGCGAAAGAAAGAGAGAAGAGAAGAGGACCAGCAGCTTAGCAGCTGAAGTTGAAGGGTACTAGAAGGCAGGCAGGCAGGCTGAATCGATCCAGCTGCTGACAAGGCAGCAGCCTCGCAGCACCACTGAATACCAAAAAGGCTAATACACGCCCAAGGAGCAGCAGAAAGCCTGAATGCAGCAGCAGCAGCAGCAGCTTTCTCAACTGCATCGGAACCGGAAACCACTGCACTTGTCGACGTGGAAATTGCAGGCCGCCCCGAGAGACAAAAGGGTTGCTCCGGCTGCTGCTGCCTAATGACCAAGCAAAGTGCAGTGGAGCGACTAGAGAAAGAAAATGAAAGAAGGAAAGAAAAGGGGGAATGAAGGTCTCCGCTTGAATGTCACCCTCTTGAATGAGTCGACTGTACTGAACTGCAGCTGCCCCAGTCCTGTCCTGTACAGTCATCATCATCATGGTGGTGCGGTGTGCACTTTTCAATTGCAACTTTTTATTTTTCAAACGTCAATGAAACATAGCAAACATAGTTCGATCACTTGTGTGTGTGTGTGTGTGTGAGTGAGACTGTCAGTTGTGTGTCTGTTTTGGGAGTGGGTGTAGGAGGAGGTGGTAATGGTGGTGGCGGGTGCACTGCTGTTCGATGTTCCTTAGTCAGTGGTATGCATGATCTTGTCTGTCTGTCTGTCTGTATGGGTTCTCGGAGTGTGTGTAATATCATCAGTATCTGTCTGTTCATGTTTTGCTGGTGAGTGTGTGTACATGTTATCGGTGGAGAGTGTATCGCTGTTGTTTGCGGTCTGCCTGATTTTGGTTGTGTACTGGTGGTGTAAGTGTGTGTGTGATTGTGTATCTTGGGTGTGTTTGTATGTGGGTATGAGTGGGTATGTCTTGTCAAAGTGCAAACAATCGGCTGAGGATAGATCAAGAGATAGAGAAAAAGAGATACNGAGAGAGAGAGAGAGAGAGAGAGAGAGAGAGAGAGAGAGAAAGAGATTGTAACTACGAGTTAGAAAGAAGAAGAAGTACGCAAGTGACGAAGGATGTCAATGCAGAGAAAGTGAGAGAGAGAGAGAGAGAGAGATGCAATCAGTGAGAAAAGAAAGTAAAAGAGAGAGAGAGCGGTTAGACGAAAGTGCGCTTACATACAAAGAACAAGGCATGGAACAGAGAAAGAAAGAAAGAGAGAGAGAGAGAACACTAAAGTCATTGGATTGGATTGAAAATTGGGGTGGGGTGGAAAGTGCTGAACAAGTACTGCACCAAATACACACACACACACGGGCTTCATTTTCGAACTCCTCGGTCCTCGGTCCTTCGGGGCTGTACACGTCCGAGATTATTATTCTTGCTCCCTTCCACCGTCGTCATCCTGTTGTTATCCTTCTTCTTCCACCACCACCACCACCACCACACACTGATCCAAGTTATACACCGCAGCCTTTCGCAGCAGTTGTTGTTGTTGTTCTGCCTCCTCGCATCTATTCAATTAGTATTAGTATTATTCAGTGGCCACACCTCCAATTAGCATCCCTCATCAGCAGCAGCAGCGGTTCGCCAGCAGTCAGTCAGTGTGCACCTTGGGCACCAGGTGCGCGCGCGCCAGCAGGTAAAAAGTGTGAAAGAGTAGAGAGTAGATAAGAGAGAGAGAGAGAGAGAGAGAGAGAAAAGAAGACAAAGAAGGGAATGAGCAGAAGCACGCGATTTGGGAAGCACTTTAGTCGGCGATCAGCAAACTGGAATTATCGCCAAGACAGAGAGAGAGAGAGAGAGAGAACGAGTGGTGTTCCCGTTCCCGTTCCCGCTTCCGTCTCTGTCACCTCCAATTTCGGATCGGATTGCAGCAGTGGCGCGATTGACGCGGATTGAATCCATCAACTGGGGCAACTCAAGCATCGGCAGCTGCTAATCGCCGACGTAAAGTGTTGGGGTGGCTGGCTGCCTGCCTGGCTGGCTAGCTAGCTGGTTGGCGCTGGTTTGATTGAGAGGAAAGAGGGTGGTGGTGGTGGTTTGTTGGGTGCTCGAAGTGGTGAAGATAGGCAGAGAAAGAGAGAGAGAGAGAGAGAGAGAGATAGACAGAGTCAGACAGACAGAGTGCGGAAAGATAGCGGTGCTACGGCGCGCCAGCCGAAGAAGAAGAAGAAGGAGAAGAAGGAGAGAGAGAGAAAGGTAGAAAGTTGTCCTCCAGGTTGATGGTGTTGTGGTGTGTGTGTGTGTGTGTGTGGTGTTGTGTGTGTATTTGTGGTGTTCATTTTTTGTGAGTGATGATGGTGCACAATGGTGGTGGTGTTGGTGGTGCTGGTGGTGGAGTAGAGTAGCTGGAAATGATGATCTACTCTTAGGATGTGAGAGACCGGCCCGAAGAAGAAAGGTGGTGTGCTGGTGGTGGTGGTGGCGATGTTGATGCAGGGGCGACCATTCATTCAGTAGTCGCTAGTCGCATCGGTGCCGTCGTCGTCATTATCGTTTGCTGTCGTTGCTGAAAGTCTGATTGCTTGCTTGAAGCTGCTGCGTCTGCTGCTGCTGCTGCTGCTGCTGCTACTACCGAGTGCAGTGAATTAGTAGTTGTTGTTGCTGTTGTTGCTGTCATCTTTGTTTGTGGTGATGGAAATTGGAGCTGAAGAAGGTGGTTGCTGCAGAAGTTGCTGGNCATCGGTGCCGTCGTCGTCATTATCGTTTGCTGTCGTTGCTGAAAGTCTGATTGCTTGCTTGCCTCTTCCCCTCCCCACACACCACTTCAGTGATGTTGCAAGAGAGTTCTACTTTGGATGCTGCTGCTGCTACTACCGAGTGCAGTGAATTAGTAGTTGTTGCTGTTGTTGCTGTCATCTTTGTTTGTGGTGATGGTAATTGGAGCTGAAGAAGGTGGTTGCTGCAGAAGGTGATGATGGTGATGGTGAATGGCGGCGGCGGCGTTTCTGATTTCGAGTAGTCAGTAGAGAAGTAGTAGAAGAAGGTAGGTAGGAATTTCGGGTCGCTCACGCAACGCAAACGTACGTTTATTCTCGTTCAATTAGCAATTATAACTTAAGATAAGAATGAAAATGTACAGAAAACACAATTCGATGACAAACACTTTAAAGAAAGAGAGAGAGAGAGAGAGAGATATAATCAAAATCGGGCGCGGCTTAAACANGGTGGTTGCTGCAGAAGGTGATGATGGTGATGGTGAATGGCGGCGGCGGCGTTTCTGATTTCGAGTAGTCAGTAGAGAAGTAGTAGAAGAAGGTAGGTAGGAATTTCGGGTCGCTCACGCAACGCAAACGTACGTTTATTCTCGTTCAATTAGCAATTATAACTTAAGATAAGAATGAAAATGTACAGAAAACACAATTCGATGACAAACACTTTAAAGAAAGAGAGAGAGAGAGAGAGATAATCAAAATCGGGCGCGGCTTAAACAAGAGAGAGAGAGCGAGCGAGCGAAGGAAGGAAAGGAGAAAAAGGAAAATAAAATCGGGCAAATTTACTTGTGTAGGTAGTTTTCTGAAGAAGAAGAAGAAGAAAGAGTGGGTAAAATAATAATAATAAGGAATTGTTATTAACAAGACACTAGCGCGATGGTGAGTTTCNAATGGCGGCGGCGGCGTTTCTGATTTCGAGTAGTCAGTAGAGAAGTAGTAGAAGAAGGTAGGTAGGAATTTCGGGTCGCTCACGCAACGCAAACGTACGTTTATTCTCGTTCAATTAGCAATTATAACTTAAGATAAGAATGAAAATGTACAGAAAACACAATTCGATGACAAACACTTTAAAGAAAGAGAGAGAGAGATATAATCAAAATCGGGCGCGGCTTAAACAAGAGAGAGAGAGAGCGAGCGAGCGAAGGAAGGAAAGGAGAAAAAGGAAAATAAAATCGGGCAAATTTACTTGTGTAGGTAGTTTTCTGAAGAAGAAGAAGAAGAAAGAGTGGGTAAAATAATAATAATAAGGAATTGTTATTAACAAGACACTAGCGCGATGGTGAGTTTCTTCATTTCGATGTCATCATCGTGACGAATTCTAGAGAGAGAGAGAGAGAGAGAGAAAGAGACGAAAAGGGATGGAGAAAAGGGCGAGTTAGTTAGTTAATTAGTTAGTGGTGAGTGTGAGTGTGCAGCGGCGAGTCTCTTGTTTCCTCGTTGTCAATGTGTTAACGGCGCACCACCATCAACAGCANACTAGCGCGATGGTGAGTTTCTTCATTTCGATGTCATCATCGTGACGAATTCTAGAGAGAGAGAGAGAGAGAGAGAAAGAGACGAAAAGGGATGGAGAAAAGGGCGAGTTAGTTAGTTAATTAGTTAGTGGTGAGTGTGAGTGTGCAGCGGCGAGTCTCTTGTTTCCTCGTTGTCAATGTGTTAACGGCGCACCACCATCAACAGCAGTGGCAATCGAGTATGACTCTGGGTACGCGAGCCAGCCAGCCAGCCAGCCAGCAAGCAAGCCAGCGAGCCTTCCCTGACTGACTACTGCCTAATCACATCACATTACAAGAGGAGGAGAGCGGCGGCGCAACTTACCTTCGTAATTCACTTGGCCGTCACCGTCAATGTCCGCCTCGCGGATCATCTCGTCCACCTCCTCGTCAGTGAGCTTTTCACCCAGATTGGTCATGACGTGTCTGAGCTCGGCGGCGGAGATGAAGCCGTTGCCGTCCTTGTCGAAGACGCGGAACGCCTCGCGAATCTCCTCCTCCGAGTCGGTGTCCTTCATCTTGCGGGCCATCATCGTTAGGAATTCTGGAAAGTCGATGGTGCCGTTGCCGTCGGCGTCCACCTCGTTAATCATGTCTTGCAGCTCGGCCTCGGTGGGATTCTGGCCGAGGGAGCGCATGACGGTGCCCAGTTCCTTGGTGGTGATCGTGCCATCGCCGTCCTTGTCGAACAGGGAGAACGCCTCCTTGAACTCTGTG